ACCATTTTAATGGTCTTAGCTGTATGCTTGAATATAATTAGCCGTAAACCTAAAGATAATGTCATGGGAAAAAAATCCTAATCTGTCTGAAAAACAATCCTAATTAGAAGATTAGATAACTTCAAGTTAAAATGTAAGCTCCTTAAGGGCAAAGTGTTCTTGATTTTTCTTTTAACCATCTTCTGCCTCATCTCCCATCCCAGCCCCCAAAGCCAAGCATACTTTCCTGCCTTCATGAAGGTCATGATCTAACATTCAGCAGCTACCATGTTATGAAATGATATATCATAAATTGCCTCAGGAAGATGCAAAGCAAGTGCTAAGAGATTCAAAAGAGAATGGATCACTATCAACCAATGGGGGAGGAGGGCAGGGAAATATTCATGGAGGAGTTGACACATAAGCTAGAACTTAAATCTTTAGTAGTTCTTTCTTGCCTCTAAGGAAAAAATACCAACTCTTCAGGTTCACACTTTTTAAAGTCCTCCCCAATCTAGATCCCCCCAACTTGACCTGACTTATTTCACATTACTCCTCCTCACAAACTCTATGCACTCTATGATCCCGGCTAAAATAGCCTACTAGGTGGAGTAACTCCACCTTCTACCTATGTCAGTTCCCCTCAGATAGGCTGTATCTCCTTGTGTCTGTAAACTCATTTTCACTCCACAGAATTCCCTAGCTTACTTAAAGCAAAGTTTAGTCTTTCATAATCTTCCCCAATTGCTGGTACTCTCTCACTGCTGAAATTTCTTTGTCTGTACTTATCTGTGTATATATATCCCCACAGAAGAACATATGCTCTTTAAGGGCAAGAATGTTTTCACATTTTTGTCTCTGTACCCTTGGTACCTAGCACAGAGCCTAGATTGTAACAGACGTTTTTTAAGTGTTTGCTGAATTTTTTTATGACAACACTATTTCAAATGTAGTTGAACACTGTATACAATGGAAGCTCTCACTCTCTTCTTAAACTTTCTGCAGTCTAACTTCTTACATCATCATTTAACTGAAATTGCTGTATGCGGTTATCAATAATACCTTCTGTGTTAAATCTAATGGACTTTTCTCAGACTGCCTCCTCAACCTTGGCAATCTCTGACACACAATCATCCTCCTCTTGGTATTCTATACTCTTTAGGTTTTCACTATACTGCTCTCTCCTGGTTCTCCCCTTACCTGTACGACAGCTCCATGACTTTCTCTCTTGCTGGACCTCCATCCACATCACCCCCACTAAGTCCCAAGGCTCTGTCCTGAGCTATTTCTTTTCTTCCTCTACAGTTTTTCACTTGGTGATCTCACAAGCTCCCATGGTTTCAATTATTATCTCAAATGACCCTCTGATCTACTTGTCCTGCCCTAATTTCTCTCCTGACCTCTAGTCTTACATCTTCAGCTAGCTCCCTTTTAGGTATTTTAAACTCAACTTTTCCCCCCAAGCCCTCCTTTCTTCCTACCTTCCTTATTACTGTCAAGGGTACCATTGCCCTCCCAGTCACACAGGCTCACAACCTAGGTGTCATCCTTAACTTCTCATTCTCATTTATTTCCCATTTCCAATGAGTTAATCCCTATTGTTTCTACCTTTCTAACATTTCTCTGATATAATGGCCACCACAGTGCAGGTCCTTATCATCTCAGACCTGCACTATTTCACTAATTTGCTAGTTGATTTCCCTGCCATGAATCTCTCCCACTACAAGCCATCCTCCACTAAACTGTCAAATTAATCTTCCTAAAGCATAAATGTGACCATGTCATTTCTCTATTTCAAATAACCTCCAATGGTTATTACCTCTAGGATCAAAGATAAAATCCTCTTGTTGGGCACTCAAAGGCCTTCATAACCTGGCCCCTTTCTACCTTTTCAATCTTCTTACACCTTACTCCCCTCCATATACGCTTCAATCCAGTGACATTTGTCTCCTTGGGTTCTTTGCACACGACATTCCGTCTCTCAGCTCTGGCATTTTCATTGGCTGTCTTCCATGCCTGGAACTCCCTCCCTCCTCATCTCTGCCTCCTAGCTTCCCTTGGGTTCTTTCAAGTCTTAGCTAAAAATCCCAACTTCTGCAAGAAGCCTTTGCAATATATCATGCATATATCTTGTTTGTCCATAGTTGTTTCCATGCTGTCTTCCCCATAAGAATGTGTGTTCCTTAGGAGCAAAGGCTATTTTTTGTCTGTCTTTGTTTCCCTAGTGCTCAGCATAATGCCTGAAACATAGTAGAAACCTACTAGTACTATGCTAAATGCTAGGTCTCTGACTGACCAAGTAGTGCCACTGACAGAAATGTAAGGAAATCAGAAAGGGAAACAAAGTTTCTGACAATTTGAATCTCAGGTCCTGGTAGGCAATCTGTGAGGAATCCAGCCTCATACACTTACTTAGCTGTGTGACCATAGGCAACTTAACCTCTGTCAGTCTCAGATTCCTCACCTTTAAAATGGGGACAACAATAGCACCTACCTTCCAGGGTTGTTATGAAAAACAAATGAGATAACATATATAAAGCACTTTGCAAATCTTCAAATACTAGATAAATGCTAGTTATTAAATATCTAGTGAACAGTTGGAAATGCAGATCTGTTATTTTGGTGTGAGATAGGGGATGGAGATTTTAGAGTCATTTGTGTAAAGGTAACTGAATCCATCTAAGTGAATGAATTTGACCAAGAAGAAAATAAAGACAGAAAAAATAAAGGGGAGGAAGGGGGAATATCTCTGGACAGATCCTAAAGGAAATACAAACATTAAAAAGGGCAAGAAGGAAAAAAAAAAAGAGAAGGAACTATTAGGGAGATAAAAGAAGATCCAAGAGAAAAAAAAAAAACAATACATATGCACAAACAGAACAAAACAGTCCACACGGACTGCTTATAGTTTGTACTGGGCACAGAATGTACTTTAAGTATAATTGGTTTCCTTCACAATTCTTTGAACCTCATTTTATGCATTTAAAAATATTATTTGGAAAAGGGGTCCAAAGGCTTTACCAGACTGACAAAGAGGTCCATGACACCCAAAATAAGGTTAAGAACTCCTAATCTCCATTGTTAGTTCGTAATTAAACCAATTCATGAAAGCTTAAAATTATTAGTGCCAAGTGGAGGTCAAGGGTCATTCCTCTAACCCATTCATTTTTACAGGTAAGGAAACTGAGTTTGCTTTTTTTTTTGTTTTTGTTTTATTTTGGGGGGGCGAAAGTGACTTGCCTGAAGTTACAGAAGTATAAAGTCGAGGTGAAACTTGAACCAGCTCTCTGAATTTGAGAATCAATGCTCTTTCCCTTTTAGGCTACCTCCAGCAGAACATGATCCTCCAGAAGCATATGAAACTACCTTGCTTGGTTTCTTTTCCCTCAGATCCAAGTCTGCTCAAACCCTACCTTGTTTAAGCCTTTCCTGCTACTGCTAGTGTCTTCCCTCAGTGCTTCCCTCCATTTACAACTTAAATATCTGGGACATGTATAGTTGTTTGCATGTTGTCTCCTCTACTAGAAAATGAGCTCTAGAATACGAGCTTATAGAGAGTAGGGACAGGTTTTTGTTTTGTTTTTTAAACTTTTGTTTGTGTCCGCAGCTTCCAGCTCAGTTTTTCACACACAGCAACTGAATGACAAATAAGGTCCTTACTGCTACTTCAGTAATAAAATCTCCTTGAATGAGATATGAAACAAATATCAAGTTATATGATATATATACCAAGCTGTAGTATGGTTTATTGGGATAATTTAAAAAGTTACCTCAGGACTTTCTCAAAATTATTTTTACTTATGAAAATCGTTATGTTTTTCTTTTAAAATGTTTGATACATTTTATTTTTACATCACTCAAAATTACTATCTTCACCTCGTTCACTTAGATTTTTAAGGAAACATCAACCATACCACTCCAAACAACTGTGTAGCTATTTCTCTCTCTCTTTTTTCTTTCCCCTGCCTCACTGTCTTTAATGGAGTGGGAAAAGGCAGTTGGACTTCCACGTTATGGACACGTCAATCTAGTTGGAACAATTGAACTCAAGGAGCATTTAAGTTTTTGGCACAGGAGTGCGCCGGCAATTCAGCAAATCATACGTAGTTTTTAGGGGCTGCTCGGTTACAAGTTCCAAGAGAAGAGGAGCACCACCATCAATGCGAGTCACGATAACAAGCGCCCTTATTTTCCAAAAACGGCTTTTCAGCTACTAGGTGCAGGATAAGTAGCTCCTGGGGTGACAGACAGACTCTCATGCCCCGGAAGGCACCCATCACCGGTAACCAAGCTTCTCATTGCAGCCACCCACGGCTTCGAACCGAACGCGCTCCAGAAACTGAGCCCTTCTCCTCCCGGCCCTGGGAGCGGAGGCGGGCGCTTAGTGCACTTTAAGGTCGCCTCTCGGCCGGGTCCGATCCAGGAAGAAAAGGAAAATAAGCCAGGGACGAGGTTTCCGTCCAGCGAGCCTAAAGGCACGGACCACACTTCCTTCGGGGCTCCCGTTCCGGCCCCCCGCCGCTCCGGGTCCTGGCACCTGTTGCAGGACATTTCCCTCCCGGGGCCGTGGACGCCTGGGGTCCGCCTTGCAGTGAGCGGAGCCGGCCCCAGCCCCCTGCCCGCCCCCGGAACCTCACTTACTCAGATGCGTTCCTCGGCTGCGCAAGTAGCAAGAAACACTAAACCGGGAAGCGTGCAACAACCCCGACCGCCGCTTCTTCCGTCGTTCTTCATCCTCCTCCTCCGCCTCCGCCTCCTCGCCCCGGTCCGCTGCCGCCACCGCCGCCACCTCCCCCGGAGCTCCTACAGCGTCGCTCCAGCCACTTCCACTTCCGGCCCACGCTGCGTGTGTCACCTCCAAATGTCGCCCCGCGGCCTCACGCTCCCAACTCCTCCGCCTTCCCCTCTCTTCCGCCCCCAGCCGCGTCAGGAACCACAGCGGCCGCAGCCGCCCGCAGTAGCTTCCCCAAATCCAGTACCTGCCAGCGCACCTAGACATGCGCACTGGCGCCAGCGTCCGGGGAGGCGGGGTTAGAGTGGGAGGGGGTATGGGCGGGCCTCCGTCCCTGGTTCCGGGATTTGAACGGTGGCCTCAGAGGAAAGAAAGCTTGTAGGTATCCGAAACGTAGGGGTACACGCGAAAGGATGAAAGAGCGTAGAAGCCTGGGAGTTTATAAACCCTAGATTTCGACTGCGCAGGTGTTCGTCAGTGACGTCATACGCGGACACGTGAGCTCGCGCACAATGAGCACCCTACTGGGTTTAGGCTCTGGGGCCTCTGGAAGGTTTCCTCTCCGCAACTGTGCATGTCCTAACATGAGTCCACAGCCCAGCAGGTTTCTCTGACGTCATCGTCATCATCATCTGCAGGGTTCTTTATTTTCTTCCTTCGTCTCCCCAGTGCCTAAATCGTGCACTCCTATTGGCTACCCAATAAAAGTTGTTTTATTTTGTTTTTAATTGTTGGTGAGAGTAAGAACTACCCATAGAATGTGTCAAAACAGGTTTTCATTAATTCGGAGAATTGAGAGAAATAGCTGAATGTTGGGGGGAGGGGTGCGGTAAAGGTTTTTAAATGGCTTTGGAAGAGAACAAAAATTAATTGAAATAGCTCCAGATTGGGAGCCAGGAGAGAATTTAGTTTGGCAGAGGAAAATTAATTGAAATAGCCTTAGATTGGGAGCCAGGAGATAACGTCTCGTATTTATATAGCCCTTTATGGTTTCTAAAGCATTTTTCTTAAAAGGAAACCTAACAAGCTTGTCGTTGTGACTTACCCAAACAAACTGCTATCAAGTACCACAGAAGAAATTAGATTCTGGATGCCGTGTTCCTCTGACTATACCTCTCAGCCCCTCCAGCCTTCGTTCTTGTCCCAATTCTGTCACTAATTACGGCTTTGGACAAGACATTTAACCTTTCTGGGCATCGTGTTCCTCAGCAGTAACGATAAGGTTATTGTGTAAATTATGCCAAAGGTTTCTTCCAGCTGTACAGTTTTATGAATCTTTTCCAGTCCAATTAAGGAGGAAAGCTCTTTTCCCCAGGTACAATACAGAAGAATTTTACATACAGTCTGAAGTATGTCATGTTTTAAAACTAAATTAAAAATTTTAAGATATACAATTTTAGCAGTGGGAAGAATCTTAAAGACAACCTAACCCCCTTGTTTTACAAAAGCTGAGGAAGCTGAGCCTCACAAGGGGTGATTGACTTGTACAGTGGGTATTACCGATAAAATTTAGACTACAATCTAAATCTCAACTTATTGTTCAGAACTTTTTCTTTTGCTGCCCTGGACACCCTTCTTTTCCATTTTAAATTATCAGGTGTTATCTCATACAGGAAGCTTTCTCTGATCTCCCACTACCTTCATATTTTATTGATGTCAACTGTGGCACTCTTTTTATCCATTTAAATACATATATATTCATTTAATAAATACATATACATTTAATAAATACATATATTCATTTAAATGTGTATATTTTATGTGTGTAAATATATATAGACATATGTAAATGTACCCATTTAAATATTGCTATGTATATTATGTGTGTTTATATATTCAAGTATATATTTATGTACATATACACATATACAGATGGATATATATATTGATGTACTGAGTATAATGTAAGCCCTTTTAAGGAAAGTGACTAATTTTCATTTTGTATTTAAGTTCCCAGTGCCTAGGACAGTACTTTGCCCTTAGTAAGAACTTAATAAATATGTATTGAGTTGAATTCTCTGATTCTTTATTTTGTTTTACTGTTGCTGATTTGTTTTTTTTTTGAAGCCACCAGGATTTTTATTATTGGACAGGCTCACACTCTAGAAAATAGCCCAAAATGGATGTTTTCTGAATACTATTATCAACATGGCTGAACAGGTCCAAACTCAGAGTAATATAGATTTATTTTTCCCTGTGGATACAACGGATAAAACAGTGTGGGACACAATTGAGAGAAGCAATCCAGGACACATAGAGTAGGCCTCTATTACTAAGAGACACTGATATTCTCTTCCATTTGATTAAAAGTTGTTACTAGATAGGATGTAAAGATAGAAACAAGTTTCTAAATTGAAACAATAGATGACATTTTATTTATATTCTGCAAAAGCAAACAACTTATCATTATACTATTTCATTTAGGCCTCAATACAACCCTGTGAGATGAGTACTATAGATATTATCTTAGTGCTGGGCACATATTTAGTGCCTAATGACTATTTATTTATTCTGATTTATAGATGTGGAAACTGAAGCTCAAAGATGTCAAAACTTTGGTAAGTACCACAAAGGGGGTTCAAACCCAATTCTTTTTTCTTCTCCCAGCCTGTATCTTATCGATCATGTCAGCCTGATTTCCTTTGGTTACAGTGGGTTGGGACATTTGTGACAAGTCGCTTGTGTTATTAAGAGGGCACTAGGTAGCACAGCAGATGAGTCAGGTGGACCTGAGTTTGAATTCAGCCTCAGAATTCAAACTTGTGACCCAGGGCAAGTCACTTAACCTGTGTGCCTCAGTTTATTCCTGTATAAGGGAGGGGATTATAATAGCACCTACCTAACAGGTTGTTGTGAACATCAAATAACATGTGAAGCCCTTCAAAAACCTTCAAAAAACATTATTAGCTACTATTATTTTCTATTTTTGTCTGCCAAGAATTCTCCCTTCTAGTTGGTCAGTCTCTTTGTAAATAACCCCTGTTGCAAGGCAGTGGTGTGTTCAGGGGTGTGAGTAGGGTAGAGGGCCAAGAGGAAGGGAGAGCTTTCCCATTTCGGTGACCACTAAAAAGCACCAAAGTAGAGTCCTGCCTCCCCAGCCTTCCCTGCCTGGTTCAAGTCCGTGTTCTGCCTAATTTACCAGACCTGGGACCTTGGGCATATCATTTAATCTCTCTGAACCTCAGTTTCCTCTTCTGACCAAAGGAAAGGGTCCTTCCCTTTTCTAACAAGCTTAACCATTCTAAACCTCACAGAGCGAACCCAGTGCGCCGGGTGGAATGCCCGAGGCATGCGCAGTAGCTCCCGGGGGGGGGTGTCCAGCCGGCGCTCTCTCCCGACTGCGCCTGTGCAGGTTTCAGGTTTCTGCCGAACCTGCAGCAGCGAGCCGCAGCGAGCCGAGCTCTCTCAAGCGGAGCCGGGACCCAGCCGAGGGGCCTGCGGACCCTGGGAGTGAAGTGAGGCGGGGCTGGGGAGCAGGGCGGTGAGTTTGGGCTCCTTTCTCTTCTCTTCTTTCTCCCCCTCGGCTCTAGCATCGCATAGCTGACCTTTCCCTCTGCATTCCTTTCCCCATCAGCAACCTCCTAACCGCCTCCCAGCATCCCCCAGCCCAGGTACAGAATCCCGAACCTGCTGAAGCCTCCTCTGGGGGAAGAGAAGCAGACCTGGACCTGGTTATGGGCTCTGGACTTGAAGTTAGAGGAACTGCGTACATGTCCCAGCCCTGACGTTTACTAGGGTGTGTCCCCAAGTTAGGCAAAAGTCATTGAACTGTAATGGAATCGTGGGATTATAGATCTGGAGCTGAGGCCGTCTAATACAACAGCCCCTTCCTTTAGTTTACAGATAAAGAAACTGAGGCCCGGGACGGTTGAGTAACTTGACTTAGGTCACATAGGTAGTAAGCATTAAAGGCAGAATTTGACCTCAGGTCCTTTTCCTCTTTATACCAAACTGCCTCAATTTTCTCCTCTGGAATATGGAAATAAGGCTTCTTGTACCACCTACCTCATTGACATCTTGTGAGAAAAATGTTTATAAACGTTAAAGCACAATGGAATAAGAATTATTGTTATTTTAGGAAGGACCTTGTGAGGAGCCAGAGCCCTGGGTTCAAATCCAACTCCTGACATTTACTACTTGTATAAATTTGGCTTAACCTTTTGGACTTAACAGTTTCTTCATTTTTTAAATCAGGAGGTTGGACTTGATGGCCTCTGAAGGCCCTTTCATCTCTAGGTCTTTGATCCTATGAACTAAAAACTTTAACTTAGTAACTTTTCTCTATCCCCCCCCCCAAAACAGACTGAATCAATACTTTCCCCTTTTCTGCCCTTCCCCACCCCACCCCGATTCCTCATTCATGAAATGTAAAGTAGCTTCTTTTCAACACTTCTTTCACATTTGGGGCAAGTTAGCCACAGTCTGACCTTTACTTATAATTTTATTTTCCTTGGAATTCTTTCTTTATCGTTGAATGTCAAATCATTCTCCCTTCCAGTCCCTGACGCACCCCTCCCCCCATCTCAGTTGGCTTTTACTTCTATAATAAGATGACAGCTGCCTGATTTTTCATCAGGTAGTAGAAATCAATGCCTTCTCTTCCAGTATGATCCTTGTCCATGTCCCTACCCTAAATCCTTCACAAGGGGTTCACCCAGTTAGCTGGTGGTTTCCCCCCAGATCTCTTGACAAAAGGGTACCAGTGAAAGACAAGAACTTTCTATATTATCTATTGTTCTTGATACTTGAGCAGCCCAACTTTTTTTCTGTACTGTATCTCTTTGATGATACATTTTAGACCAATTTGGGTGTGCAGTTCTTTATCAACATGTCTTTGCTGATTTATGTTCATCCAAATAAGTATTAAATTATATTCTCTAGGCATTCCTCATTCACTTGATTTTAACTTAGTTCAGAGTTAAGCCAAACTCTTTTTGAACTATTTTGGATCTGATTTTAGGTTGCTCCACAGTGTTTCCATATTTACATCTGAAGGACATCACCATCCACAGGGAATCCTTCTGTTTGGACTTTGCAGTAGACATCTTCAGTGACACTGGCAAATACCTTTGGTGAGCATATGTCTGCGTCTTTTATGCTCTACTTGATAATAAGTGGGATAGCAAAGTTATCTCTGTTGCATCTTTCAAAATATTCTGTATGATTTTAACAGGAGTGAATGAATGAATGAAAAAGCATTTATAAAGTGATCTCTATGTGCCAAGCACTGTGCTAAGCACAGGGGACATAAATAAGAAAGTAGAGACAGTCTCTTCTCTCAGCTAGTTCACAATCTAATGAAAAAGACCACACATATAGGAAGTTTCAGTTGCAAATTAAATGGAAAAACCTCAACGGTGCAATGGAAAAGCAGATGGAAACACCTTGTTGGACAAGAGTTTTTAAGGCAACATTTTGTTCTACCAAATGAGATGTCTTTTTATAACCAACAAACCACAAGCTCAATGAAATTTTATATTTTCTGCACTTTGATTTAAGTGTGTGGCTACAAAACTAAAATAAAGTCTTTTACAGCATATTGTTTGAAAAAGTCTAATGTTTGCTACTCTGACCGTCAAGTATGTCCTCAGTAATTAAAATAAAGATTTTTGAAGTGATCAGAAACTAGGCACAGATGTTATTAGTCAATAACTACTTCTCAGGGGCCATTTTTGGGTGCTAATAATATTTGATTTTTGCCACGTATTTGACATTGTTCCCTCTTTTAGATATCTTGGTGATTAATTCCTTAGTGTAATCAAATTTTCATTGACTTTAGCATGAACGACTTCTGTGTCTTCTTACTTTTGTCTAACTGTTCTTCCCATCTTTAGTGCCATTTTTACAGCAAATTGGGGGTTGTGAAGTTAGAGGCCAAGTGTGGTGGCCTATTTGACATTGATTGAAAGAGTAGTTTATTGTAGTAATCTGGACACATCTTTTTACTTTTATGTCTGTCACTTGGCCTTCAAATTTCATATTTAAATGTCTTTGGGATAATGGCTTAATTGAATTCCTCATCAGGCTTTTTATAAACATATTTTTTCCCTTCATGGCTCCTTGATGTTTTCTGGAACAATGCTTCTTAAAAATCTTTCTTTCCCTAAGATCATACAAACAAATTTATATTCTAAAACTATTCTAAATTGCCATTATCCTTAATTGTCATCCTGTTCTTCTTAGGACAGATATCAAGTGTTTGTTGGCAAAAGTTTCTGCATTCTTTTAGTCTCTTTTTACAAGAGTTTATTTACATTGGGTAAAATTCCTTAAGAGATGGTAATAATCTGTGTTGATGTTTGTTATTTTGTCTTTTCCCTTGGCAGTTGGGATCAATGTCTTGTTTAAATAGTTTAGGTTGAAGCTACTTTAATTATATATCATGTCTTCTCATTTTTATTCTTCTTAAATGATATTAATTTTCATCTTTACTCTAAAAAGTTAATGGTCTGACTTTATAAAGACAAGTTGATTCACAAATGACTCTATCATTGTTTACCAGGTGTTTCCTGTCTGTTAAGAGATAATCTATTTCCTTTTTTTTTGTTGTTGTTGTTGGTGATGTTACTTGATCTTCAACGTGTCCGTTGCTTCCCAGCTCTCTGTTGAATAAAATATTGTTATAGGTGTAAGGATTCTGTGTAAAGTGTATTTGATCACTTTATCTCTTTAGCCTGAGTTATATTTTCCAATAGATTTTTTTTTTAGAGTCATTGAGTATTAAGGCAAAGGTTAATTTTATTTGGATGGTATTATCTAGTTTTTCATAGAATTTCTCTTCCTCCTTCTCTGAATAGATGTTGGCATATAAGCTGCAACTGGTTTTTTTGTTTGTCCTTTTGCAGATACTTTTCATGAGCACTGGAATGTGAAATTTCAAAGTAATGTTTCTTGTTGTTTAGTGTTTAACGTTTCTTCAGGTTTAGTGTCTCTGATAAATGTGTATTCAGAAATTTTGTGCATTGGTAACTTTGAATTGTTCCAAAACACTCTTATTCTATTTTCCAAGTGAGACAGTAAGTAGCTCATTGGAAAGAGCTCAGGATTTAAGAGTCATTAGATCTGGGTTCACATCTTCTCTGCTACTTACTACCAGTATGACCTTGATCAAGTCACAGTGCCTCAGTTTTCTCATATGTAAAATGAGAGGGTTGAACTCTCTCTGATGATCTCTGAACTCCCTTTTAAGTGTATGATCCCTGCCAGGCCCTGTAATGAACACTGAGAATAATGTTATATTTTATCAGGATGAATAATTTAAACATAGAAAAGTAAATACAAAAGAGATTCAAAATAATTTCTTATGGAGAACAGTCTAGCAACCATAACTATGACTGAGTTTAGGCTGTTTCCTGTAGGAGATGGCATTTGAACTGAATTCTGAAGCATACCAGGGATTCTACAGGGTGGAGATAAGGGGTGAGAGTATATTTTAGGCATGGAAGATTGCCTATGCAAAGGCATAGAGATGGGATATCATGTATAGAGATTAGCATGTAGGCCAATTTCATAGAACATAGTGTGTGATGGAGAGTAATATACAATTAGCCTAGAAATGTAGGTTAAAGCCAAACAGTGTTGGTTGTTTTTTTTATTGTAGAGAAATGAGGAGTTTCTTTAACAGAAAAATGACATAGTTATACTTGTAATTTAGGAATGTTCCTTTGGTAGCTGTATGGAGGTGGGATTGGAGAGTGGAGAGACTTGAGTTAGGGAGACCAATTAGGTCTCATAAGAATCCAGGCAAGAGATTTTGAGTGCTTGAATTCTGGTAGTGGCTGTGGGAGTTAGAGAGAATGGTATTAATGTGAAACGTATTATAGAGGTTGAACCAATAAGACATGGCATTTGACTGGATATGAAGAGCAAGGGAGAAGGAAAAGTTAAAGGTAATTTCAAGATTGTAAACTCAGGTGATTGAAAGGATGGTGGTATTCTCAACCTAAATAGAGAAGTTATAGAAGAGAGGATGAAAAGATAATGAGTTCTGTTTTGGACATGTTCAATTACAGTGGATGGATGGATGGGTGGATGGATGGATGGATGGATGGATGGAAAAGTATTTGTTAATGTACTCAGCACTGAGTTAAGGACTAAGGATACAAATACAAAAAACAAGATAATTCCTGCCATTAAGGAGTTAACATTCTAATAGAATGAAACAATGTATTTAGGAAAGTGGTAACCAGGTAGGGGTATTTTGGTTTGGAAAGTTACAGGGATGTTAACTAGAACCATAGTGGAATAGATTGATATACCCTTCTAGGAGCAATGGCGATGTTGATTTATTTGATTGTAGTTCTGGAATTAGGAGGAGGAGGGAATAATGCTGATGGCAGCTATTGAGGAGATTGCCAGGAAATGAAGTTCATCATCAGAAATGCCCATGGGACATCTAGCTACAACTGAGACTGTCAATATTGATATAGTTCAGCCTATGCAGTAGCATGTCAAATCTAGACATTTGAAAAGAATCTGATATTCAGCATACCAACAATAAATGTTTTAGTCTAAAAACTGTAATAAAAAGCATGTGGGATTTGATTATCGAATAACTGGGTTCACATATTGCCCTTGATTCTTACTGAATTTGTGACTATGGGCAAGTCACTTGACTTCTATGAAATATAGAATCTCAGTTTTCTCATCTACAGAATGAGGATAATAATAACTGTAGTATCTTCCCTCACAGGGTTTTTAAGTCTCAAATAAAATAATCAATATAAAAGTTTTGCAAACCTTAAAACATAGAGATGTAAGTTGTTTTGTTAACAGTAACCTTTGCAGTGCTTAGGACCATGTCACCTTTATACTGCTCTACCACATTTTTGTAGTAGCAGAAGGGGTGGCTACACAGAACTGAAGGCCATTTTGCTCTTTGTTTTTTTGTTTTTTGGGTTTCCATGGCCAAAGAATCTATCACCAAATGGCCTGTCCAGTGGTGATGAGGCTCTCTGCACTTAGCTAGGCTTAACCTAAAGTAGACGTTGTCTCTTATAGGGATCATACTGCAAACATCTCTAGCAGTTTAGTAGATACTGTCATAACTTGTACTCTGTTGGCATAGCCTTTGAGAACTCAGGGTCACCTTCATGCTATGCTGAATCATTGGCATAGAGCTCTTAAGAACAATTGCTTTGGGTGGGTATTATAAATGTTGCTTAGAAAAAAATGTTTAACATTTTAGAATCTCAGAACTACAAGGGAGATAGCCTCCCTGTTTGTAGCTATACAAAAACTCAGACAGTTTTGTTATTTCATTGGGTTCTCATCAAGAAAAGAGAAATGACCTGTGATGACAGCTGTTAAAATGTCAAGACAGAGGAAAAGGAGTACAGCAAGTAGTTAGATACCAAGGGATACCACCCTAAATGTTAGATGCTTTGGGGTGATCTGCCCTCCAATTATTCTGTTATGTGTATAAAGCAAGTAAGACCTCAAGCAGAAGAGTATAATGCTTATTCAGATAAGAAGTTGACTTCCTATTCATCAGATCCTGTGGGTTCAATTCTATGAAGATGACTCCCAAATCCATATTTTCATCCCTGACCTCTCTCTTACATCTCATGTCATCAACAGCCTGCTTACTAAACATTTCAAATTGAGTGGTCTATAGGCATGTAACCGAAAAGATTACAGACTACACAGATCTTTCACTTTAGGTTCGGATCTCAAGATATAAGGATACGCACTAAGTATAAACTTAACAATCACATTTATTTTACAATGATTGATAATGATTAAGGCAGCACAAGCATGTAAAGATAAGAATAACATTCAATGCAATAAATAATAATCAAAATCAAGAAAAGGAGGAATAAGAAAAGAAAGGATAAACACTCACTGACCAGGCGAGCTCAAATTCCTGCAAGACCTGAGAAACTGGAGATGATCAAGAAGTCCGATCAGGAGGCCAAAGGAGCAGTGTTCTGCTCCAAACCAACAACAAGGCCATGAACTTGGTCCGCCCTTGAACAACAACAGAGATTCCGAGTCCCTATCTGACATCAAAGTACTCCAAAAAATCCCCTTTCAGATGCCCCTTTTATATCTATGTAAACCAGGGAAAATCAATCTTAGTATTTTGTTTTGTGTATATATCCTTGCTGAGCTCAGGTCCTGGATATGCACACATTCTAACAAAGGTGGGAGCTTGATCAGAGCCCCAAGTACCTCTTTGTTGTGTAAGTCTCCAAGGAGGGAATCAGGTCCTTAGACAGTTACACACTTCTCTCAAGAAAAATGTTCCTTGAGATAAGAATTGCTTTCCCAGGTAACATAGTTTGCTGGTCACCTAATGTTCTGTTTCCATGGTACCCTTGGCTGTGCATAGCTCCAGTTTACATTCTTTATGTCAGGTCATGAGGTGGTTTCACGAGGGAGCTGGGGAAGATCTTCCTCAGTTTCCTTCACAAGACATCTCAATAAAACCTACTCCTCTTCTCAATTTCCTTCCAGTCATCCAAGTTCACTTTATTGTTATCCTTGACTCTTCACTCTTCCTTACCCCACATATCCAATCTCATCAGTTGTCAAGTCTTGTCAATTTTACCCTAATTTCTCTTGCATCCATCTTTTCTCTCTATTCAAGAAAGCCGCTATGCTAGTTTATGCCTTCATGTCTTAACTGTACTGTTGCAGTAGCCTTCTATTTGCTCTTCTTGCCTTCAGTCTGTTCCCTATATCTATTCTCCATAAAGCTTTCAAATGATATTCCTGAAGTGCAGACCTAACTGTGTTACTTCCATACTTAAATTCTATACTCCCATACTATAAATTCTTTATAATCTCTAGAATCAAATACAGACTCCTCTGTTTGATTTTTAAAGACCTTCACAACTTGACTTCATGCTCTCTTTCCATCCTTGTTAGACATTACTCCCCTTCACATACTCAGCAAGACAGCCAAACTGCCCTTCTTGCAGTCTCCACACATGACATTCCATTTCCTTTCATCTTTCTTTTATACAGCCTGTCCTTCATGCCTGGCATACTCTTTACCACTATCTTTTATAATCTCTAATTGCCTTCAAAGCTCAGTTCAAATGTTGAGTCCTCTTTGAAGCTTCTCCAGCTCTCCCAGCTGCTAGTTTTTCTCAACCTTCCACAAATTCAACTTGTGTTTCTTTTGTATATATCTTGTATATACTCATGTGTATGTATTGACTCCCCCTGCAGAACATAAACTTCTTGAAAAAAGAGACAGTTTAATTTCTATCTTTGTACCCCAAGTGTCTGGCACATAGGAAGCACTTCATGCTTGTTGATTGATAGACTTGGAATCAGTCTTTAAGATCCTGAAAAATATCTTGGACATAGAGTCATAGGTTTCTTATGGAATAGGAACATAGAAGAATCTAATGACTGACATTAAAGGCACAAATCAATTTGAAGGAATGCCATGGATTCTGTGTATCTTACGAAGAAAAGTAACTTAACAAAAAATAATATATATATGCATATAGATACACATATAGATAAGTAAAATATATAAAATCAACTATAGTGTAAAAGACCAGTGACATTGTAACTGTCAACCAGATGGAACCAGCCTCTAACCTCTGGGTGGCTGGAGCCAAACAAAGCAGACTAGAGACAGGTGAGTCAAGAATCAAACAGAAGGTTAATTTCAAAAAGAGGAAAATGGTTTGTAAGCAAGGACACGTGTGCTGGAGCCCTGCCCTAGTGAGGAGACCTGAGGCAGTATAGGGAGATCTCAGTACTTATACCAATGGCTACACAGTGAGCTGTAGCCCTGACAATGGGGTAACAGTAATTCTGGAAGACAGGGTATCTCCTAATATCGTAACACTACCAGTCCTGCTGGCAAGGTTTAAGTCTGGCTCTCTACGTATACATTTGTTTATGATGTTAGAATGGAGTAAAACAGTTGATGGTGTAGGCAAATTTGACTTGAGTGGCTTTACTGTTATGGATAATAAGAAAGCTCATAGTGATCTGATATACTCACGTATGTTGAGCCTATAATGAACATGGATCCTGCTTTTATGCTCTTAAAGTTGTTTATTTTTTGTTCCCATAGGTAAATCGAGGAATTTGTTAACTTTGTAATGGCCACTTCACAAGCTTCACGAACAGTAGCATCACAGGTGCCTTTTGCAGATTTGTGTTCAACTTTAGAACGAATACAAAAAAGTAAATCCCGTCCAGAAAAAATCAAATACCTCAAGGAATTTTTAGATTCATGGCGGAAGTTTCATGATGCTCTTCATAAAAATGAAAAAGGAGTCACAGACTCTTTTTATCCAGCCATGAGACTTATTCTTCCACAACTGGAACGAGAGAGGATGGCCTATGGAATTAAAGAAACTATGTTTGCTAAGCTTTATATTGAGTTGCTTAATTTACCAAAAGAAGGAAGAGATGCTCAGAAACTTTTAAACTACAGAACACCAACTGGAACTCGTGGAGATGCTGGAGACTTTTCAATGATTGCATACTTTGTGTTGAAGCCCCGGTGTCCAAAGCAAGGGAGCTTAACCATACAGCAAGTCAACGATGTTTTAGACCTGATTGCTAGCAACAATTCAGCCAGAAGAAAGGATCTGGTGAAGAAGAACCTTCTTCAACTCATAACTCAGAGTTCAGCTCTTGAACAGAAGTGGCTTATCCGAATGATTATAAAGGACTTAAAACTGGGTTTTAGCCAACAAACTATATTTTCTCTTTTTCACAGAGATGCTGTCGAGTTGCATGGTGTTACGACTGATCTAGAAAAAGTCTGCAGGGAACTTCATGATCCTTCAGTTGGACTCAGTGATATTTCAATCACATTATTTTCTGCTTTTAAACCAATGCTGGCTGCTGTGGCAGATATTCAGCGGGTCGAAAAGGACATGAAACACCAGAGTTTCTACATAGAGACAAAACTAGATGGTGAGCGTATGCAAATGCATAAAGATGGAGATGTGTATCAGTTCTTTTCTCGAAATGGTTACGATTACACTGAACAGTTTGGTGACTCCTCACTTAAAGGTTCTTTAACACCATTTATTCATAATGCTTTCAAAACCAACATACAAAACTGTATTCTTGATGGTGAGATGATGGCGTATAATCCCAACACACAAACATTCATGCAGAAAGGAAATAAGTTTGATATTAAGAGAATGGTAGAGGATTCTGAACTACAGACATGTTACTGTGTTTTTGACGTGTTGATGGTCAATAATAAAAAACTGGGGCATGAAACTCTGAGGAAAAGGTATGAAATTATTGATAGTGTTTTTACACCAATAAAAGGTAGACTAGAAGTGGTACAGAAAACAGAAGCTAACACTAAAAAAGAAGTCATTGATGCCTTAAATGAAGCAATAGATAAACGTGAGGAGGGAATCATGGTTAAAAATCCACTTTCCATTTACAAGCCAGATAAACGTGGTGAAGGATGGTTAAAAATTAAGCCAGAGTATATAAATGAGTTAATGGACGAACTGGACATTTTAATTATTGGTGGTTATTGGGGTAAAGGTTCTCGAGGAGGAATGATGTCTCATTTTTTGTGTGCAGTAGCAGAAACACCCCCTCCTGGTGAAAAGCCATCTGTGTTTCATACTCTTTGTCGTGTTGGTTCTGGATACACTATGAAAGAATTGTATGATCTTGGTTTGAAATTATCCAAACACTGGAAACCATTTCATAAAAGAGCACCACCAAATAGCATCTTATGTGGTACAGAGAAACCAGAAGTTTACATTGAGCCTTGTAATTCTGTCATTGTTCAGATTAAAGCAGCAGAAATTGTCAGCAGTGATATGTATAAAACTGATTGTACTCTACGATTCCCTCGAATTGAAAAGATAAGAGAAGATAAAGAGTGGTATGAGTGTATGACTCTGGATGAATTAGAAAACCTTAGAGGGAAAGCATCTGGAAAGCTTGCTTCTAAGCACCTTTATATAGGTGGTGATGATGAAGAACCACAGGAAAAAAAACGAAAAGCTTTGAAGGTTAAGAAAGCTATTGGAATCATTGAGCACTTAAAAGCTCCTGATCTTTCTAACATAAACAAAATTTCTAATGTATTTGAAGATGTAGAATTTTGTGTTATGACTGGGACAGACAGCCATTCAAAACCGGATCTCGAGAATCGCATAGCAGAATTGGGTGGTTATATTGTACAGAACCCTGGCCCAGACACATATTGTGTAGTTGCAGGTACTGAGAATGTGAGAGTGAAAAATATCATCTCTTCAAATAAGCATGATGTTGTAAAGGCAGAGTGGCTCTTAGAGTGTTTTAAGGCCAAAGAATGCATTCCATGGCAGCCTCGCTTTATGATTCACATGTGTCCATCCACAAAACAACATTTTGCCCGTGAGTATGATTGCTATGGTGACAGTTACTTTGCTGATACTGATTTGGTACAACTGAAGGAAGTATTCTCAAGAATTAAAAATGTGAAGGAAAATAGTCCTAAAGGAATGTCTTCAGTAATTGCAGATTTAGAATATCGTTATTCCTGGGACAGCTGCCCTCTCAGTATGTTCCGACAGTGTGTCATATATGTGGATGTATATGCTGTTATTAATGACCTCACTACCCAAATCCAGGGAAGCAGGCTATCCATTAAAGCCCTGGAGTTGCGGTTTCATGGAGCAAAAGTCATTTCATGTTTAGAAGAAGGAGTGTCCCATGTAATCATTGGGGAGGATCACAGTCGTGTTGAGGAATTTAAAGCTTTTCGTAGAACTCTTAAGAAAAAGTATAAAATTCTACAAGAACTTTGGGTAACTGATTCTTTGAAAAAGGGTGAGTTGCAGGAAGAAAAGCATTACTTGATATGAAACTAGCTTTCCTGATAAGCAAAGCCCTTCGTTTTGCCCAAGAGGACTCACTGAAGTGGGTAGCTAGCGCATCTTTAATGTTTATGAGTTCAAAACCTGTGCTTACAAAGCATTATTAGGTGTAGCAAAGCAATTTTAATTTTCAGAAATTGAAAGGAAATTGGATAATTAAAAGCTGAAGGACTAAATATCTTTTCAGCAAATTAACACTTGATGATTTTTATGGTCAAGAGAAAATAATTACTGTTTGTGAAGCAAAGGTGATTACAGAACATAGCTCAAGAGAATTAGAAATTTCAATGAAGTGGCAGTAAAATACATTTTCAAACATTTGAAATAATTAAAATGACCCATTTTAATAATAGCTGCTAAGTAAAGGACATATCTTTTTTTATTGGTGCTTTTAAATACACTGCTTTGGAACTAGCCTGTATCTCACACATGAAGGAATCTAATTCTACAGATCTTCCTAATTCTAAGTTCATGGTCATAGACTCTTCCTTACAATAAGAGAGTAATATATACTACAAGTGTTAATTTTAAGTTGATGGTAAGGTACATTAATAAATTGGCAATAAGGTCTTCAGGTAGAGTAGGATAAGTTGAACTAGACTTATTATTTTGGATAATTAAAGTTGGGATCTATATAATAAAATTAGGCATCTTTAATTTTAAACAAAAGTTATGTTTCATATGTTTTTAAGAAGATAGTTTTATCTGCATCTTGGATCCAAAATTGTACACACAGATTGGCTCTTCTAGAATTAATCAAATGAAAAACTCTTGTAACTTATACTTTATAGAGAAATAAGCTATTGTATGTGTCATTCTGTTTTAAAAACATTCATATTTAAAATACATGAAGGGAGAATTATTTATATTAAATTATATTTTCAGTCTTTGGAGAATGAATACTGTTTTTAATATTTTGAATATTGTTTTGCAAAGCCCGCTTTCCCATCACAAGACAGAAATGCAGTTTAAAAATCAGTACAGTTGGTAATGATAGGTGTCTCATAAGTATTTTAGAAATGATGAGAATAAACTGTGTGTTTTTGTTGTATTTATTTAAATAAAATATGTGCACGTTTGCAGAAAAACTTTGTTGATACTTTGATTTTAAATGATGCATTAATTCAGAGTAATCACTATATTTTAGGCAACCACATGTACTGTTGTCTTAAGCAAAATATTAGCTAAAGTAAGCCTTACTAATTCCATGTCCCTTGTGTTCAAAATAATTCAGTTCAACAAACATTTATGGCATGCCTGCTATGGGGCACAGCACTATGCTAGATGCTGAGGAAAATGAAAGGATAAATAAAAACATTAACATTGTCATCAAGGAGCTTACAATCTAATGGGAAAGATGAATATAATGAATACAAATGAATATAAATTAAACTATAAATGCATAGGTAAGACTTGGAGAAGAGATCAGTTTTGAGTAGGGAAATGGAAGGCACCATATGTGAGAGGTCACCTGAATTTGACCTGGGAGGATGGGCAGGATTTCAACAGATGAAGGTGGAGGGAAATGTATTTCTGGCATAGGGCGCAGTGATCAAAGGCTTCTCACAGAAGTCGGTAAGGGAGTGAGGGATTCAACTCAAGTCATGTTGAGTAGTATAACTAGACTGGAACATAAAATAACTGAAGGGAAATAGTGTAAGAAGTATAGAATGGTAGTTTCAAACTAAATTCTGAAGCATCTTTAATTCCATGATAAATAATTTGAATTTTATTCAGGAGACTTTAGGGAACCATGAAGTGGTTTTGAGGGAAGAAGTGCACTATTTATATTTGGGCAGATTAAATCAGCACAGTGTGTACGATGGATTGGAGGAGAGAAGAGACTGGAAGCAACCAGACCAACCAGGATTCTTATAATCAGTCATCCAAGGAAGAGTAATAGGATATGAACTAGGAAGGTGGTAATGGAAATGCAAATAGAGAAATATGGGTAGCACTGTGGGGGTGTTATAGGAGAAATATGTGGTAGGTAGCTGCTGTCAATGCAGAAATTAGAGATAAATATGCAAGTTTTATAAGCTCAGATATAGATCAGGCCTCAGAGAAAATCTGAGCCCCTGTTAGGAGTCTAACAAGACCTCTTATAGACAAAATTATGTCAGAGTGGCAGAAAAATAGTTCTTTTACATAGCGAAATCTTACATTCCTCTTAGGCCACAAAAGTTAAAGAAGGTAGATCCATAATCCCAATGCTTTTTTCAATGTCACAATGTCACAAAACTTGAACAAATTGTTAGTCATAATTTCATACATAAATCAAGTCAAACAGACTTTGTAGGTCAGTTAAGTCCTGTTACAAATTAAACTACATTTAGAGGGTTCACAAATAGGCTGATTGAAGAGGAAGATTTACGTATGGCCAAAGAATTGGGGATAATTGAGATTCTTCCTCTCGATTCTTATCTAAGGAACTTTTAGACTTTAAGTAAATTTTCACATCCTATGAGGCAGGTTTTGGTCAGGTGAGGTTACTTTTAGTTAACCAAAATTTGTAGAAGGGGTGGTCTTGTCTCCTAAATAATAAAAGGAAATTAAAAATTTTCCATAATGAGGGTATTTTTTTAACATAAGCTTAGCTAAACTGGACTTTTTCTAAAAGTAAAAAGAAAGAAAATTCTTGCCCTAAAGGAGCTTACATTCTAATGGAGGTAAGACAGTATATAAAAGGAAGCCGAAAATGAGAAAATGGGGAAAAGGTACCCAGCAAGAAGGCATGGTAGGGAAAGTCCTGGAGATGGGTCAGCACTGTTGCAGGGAGAAGGATGAAGATATCTTTGGCTTGATTCTCCTCCTTAAATTGGAGGTTTGCTTCATTATTTTTAATCAGTGATTTGAATGAAGCTATAGATGGAAGGTTTTTCAAATTTATAGGTAATAATAGGAAGCCAGCAGGGATAATGCATTGGGTGTCAGAACTGGGATCTGAAAAGATTTTTACAAGCTAGGATGATAAGGGAGCAAGGGAAGAAAACTATTAAGATGAAACTTAATAAGGAAACTATAAGGTCCTTATATTTGTTAAAAATTATATAAGGGCTGTATGGGAAAGATATGTCTAGACAAAAAAAATCCTGCAGGTTTTAGTAAACTGCAAACTCATATATCATGTGCAGTCAAAAATTCAAATATAAAAAGAAATCAAATATACTCTTGAGTTGTATTATTAAAATAAACAGAACAAGAGAGGTGATACAAGTCCAGAGTACAGATTATTGGTCAGAATATACTTGAATAAGTGTTTAATTATAAATGCCACATTGTAGTATGAAGGGATTTAATGATCTGACCTGTGTCCAGAGGAGGGTAACCAGAACAGTAATGAAATTAAATCATGTCATATAAGGATCAACTCAAACATCTGAGTATGTTTATTCTAGAGAAGATTGAGGAAAAACGTAATTACTGTCTTCAAACAATTGGAAGGGCCATTCATTCAAGCATTTATTAAGCTAGGAGCTAGGCATTCAGAGACAAAAACAAAACAGACCCAGTTCAGCTTACATGGCAGTAGCTAGTAGCTAACATTTATATGGAGCTTTAAGGTTTGCAAAGCACTTTTACATGTATTATCTCATTTGACCCTCACAACAACTCCATGAAGTAGGGGCTATTATTAACCCCATTTTATAGATGAGGAAACTGAGGTTAAGTGGCTTGCAAAGGGTCCCATGGCTACTAAGTGTCAGAGTCAAGATTCAAACTCAGGTCTTTCCTGATTCCCAAGTTCAGCACTCTATGCATTTTTCCTAGTCCCTTCTATTTGGGAGGAGTGGGGGTGTCATGAATATATGGTAACATAAACAATGTGCACTCAAATAAGTAAAAACAAATTATATAGAGTATATGATTACATACAAAGTAAATACACAGAAAATTGTGGAGTGGGGAGAGGGGAATGAGGATAGTGTGGCAAGTAAAATGCAATAAAGGGAAACTAAGATAGTTCTTGGAGCAAGATAAGTTTATCAATAGTGGCCACAATGAGAAAGGGAAGACCATCTTTATTGACAAGCAGGAAAGGAAGAGACATGGGTAGTTGGGGAATATTACAACTGGCTACAGCTGTGGAAAGTGGGTTGGCATTTGGGTGTGGCTGATCACTCCTCTCTGAGAATTAAGGAATGTTAATTGCTATATGGGACTTGTCTGCCTCTTGTAGTCTTGGCTATTAGACCAAAGCCATGCTATTTGACCTTAAATGACAAAAGGAGCTTGACAAAATGGGGAATACGGTCATTTATAGAAAAGAATCAATTATTAAATGATCCAGCATAATTTTAATTTCCTAAGTAGATTTCACGTAGGAGATAACATGAACTGAGATTTAAAAGAAACTAAGGACTCTGAGAGGCAGAGATCAGGCGGAACTGCATCTCAGGAATTGGGAATAGTCTGGGGCAAAGACTTGGAGTTACAATGTCATATGCATCAAGGATTGTTATTTGTGCTGAGCTGGACTCAGGTCAGTCTTCTGATAGTTTGTTTTTTTTTTTAAGTTCAGTACTAAAACAAAAATCAGACACTTGTAGATCATTCAAGAGTTAGTGAAAAGGTTTACCTAGCCATAGTAGGAGAAGGATATTCAACAAGGATAGATTTTGAGGATACCTCAGGTTGATTCATCTGAGCTAAAGCTTCCTTGCATGAGCTGTGCATAGTAATGCACCAAGTAAGCATCAAAGTGTCATTGAAACTCCTTGTGGCTCCTATGTAACTCAGGTGACCAAGAAGTGATGTCAAGAGTCTGAACCTCCAGTCCCCTGAGACAACCAAGAATTGAGTCTCATCTCAATACCTCAATACCTTAGTCAAATTGCATGGGGAATTAGGGTATTGCTCCTACCATTCTGCTATTTAAAATGACCTACTGTATGAAAATCTGAGCTAACAAAAAAACATAAATTGTGTTGTTATTCACAAATTTAAGATTTTTCACTTTATAGATTTTAGTGAGCTCTTTCCTAGAATTCATTTAAAATATAATTTGAATTAAAAGACTAGATTTCCTAGAATGTTGTCTATTGCACAAAATAAGACACACTTCCCTACACACCTGTCCTTAGGTCTTTAAAACCCTCCTCCTTTCCATATCCATAGAGGAGCAAGATGATGCCATACACATTACTGTTTTAGTGACTAAGGGGTAGCACAATGGAGAATGAACACTTGCTTCCTTTGCTAAGACTGATGGACTAGCTACCTGCATGTTATTTGGAAAGCATAAAGGTAGTACAGAGACATAATATTAGATAAGATGAGAAAGAAAGCAATGTACTGGAAAAAGAAACCTCCACCAAAAGACCAGTGGTAGGATATTTGAGAATATTTCTTTCTCCTTTTGCCAGGTACCATCTGGTATACAATAGGAAAGAGTCTTGCCTTACTCCTAAACAACCAATTTGGCCTAGGCATAAACTATCAGCCTTAATGCTTGTCAGTTTCCTCTATAAAAGATAGGAGCTCATTACCTGCTTGCATATATGACTGGCATATGGGTTAATTAGCATTTACAAAGTTTTTTGAGGCTATTAAGACAACATAACTATTGATTATGAATTATCCTGGAATGCTTTTGTTCTGGGGATACTAGCTCAGTAGTCAAATCATTTATTTGAGAAATATGGATATGCATTTTGATAAACTAGAGAATTTATATAAAAAAGGCATCGGCCACATGAATCATTTCTCAATAACTGAGATATAACAATATATGAATTGTTTCATCAAAATACTAAAGCATTTGTTTTTAAGTTTTCCTTGAGTTTTGAAAAGTACCTATTCCAAGGATGGAAATAGGATGAATGTTCATACATAGATTCAAGGCATTAGAAAGAAATAAAATTAATTGGCCAAATGGAATTTTATTTCTTCTGTCTATGCAGGTTCATTTTCTCTTTGGCCAGTAAATCAGTGGCTAAATGGAAGTGCATCAGATTAAACCAAAATAATAATATGATTTGCAAAAATCTAGAAAAATATAAGGTACTGGAAAGTACCTAACTTGGCATTTTCTTTTGACTTGAAATCCAAGTCATGTCAAGTCAACTG